TGTTTGGAAAACAGAATGGGAGGAAGGAAAACAATAAAATTGGAAGGAAAAACATTTCCTTTTTTTGACTGATTATAGTAATTTTTTAATTTTAATAACTTAATTTTATAATAATTTATTAATAAGGGAAGGATAAAGAAATATTCACCTTTACTTAAATTTCATCATCCACATCAATCCCCCTCCATATTGGGAAATTTATACAAAATTAAGAAATTAAAATTGTCGATAAAAATAATAGTATAATTTAAATCAAAAAGAAACGAAAAATTAGGATAGTTCAAGTCCACAACGATCTGGGCCCTATTTCAATTGTCCACAGATTCTGCGGTCTGTGTTCTGTGCACAGAATGCAGAATCTGTGGACAATTGAAATAGGCCCCTGGAGACTATCTCCGTTTTTGAAGATTCCGACGATATTGCGGATAACTTATTTATTGTTATTTATCCTGATTTTCGATTGAGATACTCCTTTTTTACATAAATTAAGGAATGTATTGAGGGAATTATCCAGCAAGGCTGTAGATACCGTATCTTTGAAACAGAGCTCCATGGGGCTCTTTATTCTATCTAATTTCAAAGGATATTTTTTACTTTATATGGAAACGGATTTTGATAATATTGGGGGGGGGGGGGGGGCGGCACCCCCAATGGGCTATATTTTTCAACTATCCTCCAATATTTCAGCGTGGGCTTTAATTCAATGTGAGGCTTCAATTCAAAAAATACAGAATATTTGTATCTGAGAAGATGATATACATAGTTATTTGATTTTTGAGATCGGCTGAGGAATAATTCTGCAGAATAGAATTGAAATTAACGAAAAAGAGAGATTTAGTTTCGAAGTGGAAAAGAATTATTATTTAATTATTATATAATAGTTATCTAATAATTATTATTTACAAATATTTTAGAGGAATATTTCTATAGAATAGATTGATTTTTGATTTTTTTATTTGATTTTTGAGACTATCCTAGTTGTCAGTTTGAGAAAAACAGATATGGCACACCAAGTGTAAGGGTTGAGATAACACCAGAATCCGTATCCATATAAAGTAAGAAGATATTTTTTAAAATCAGACAAAATTTTCAAAAAAATAATTTTAAATTATTAAATAATTTAAAAATATTAAAAATCAATTTCTAAATTTAAACAATCATTTTACTTAAGTGCATTTAAAATCATGTGAAGTGTCTTTATTTGATAGACTCAGACTTGTTTACTTATTTTTTTTCAGTTGATTGTGAAAATTGAGAAAATATTTTAAAATAAAATTCTTTTTTCATTTTTTTCATTAAAAATATTTTTTTGTTATAAAATAAATTGAAAAATATTTCTATTGATTTATTGTTCAACTAGCTATTTATGATTAGGGTCCGGATTTTTATTGAAATAAAATCGCAATATATGGCCATAAAATATTGAAATAAATTGGCAAAATATTGACAAAAAATGCCAAAAATTATTGAAATATTGAAATAAATTATTGCTTATTTAGAGGCATTAAGTCAAAGAAGGGTTGAATTTTAGCAAAAAAAACTTTAATTTGCTTTAAAACAGTTTTGTGATGCTACAGAGAGAAAATAGTCATTTCAGGACAGAAAATTTAGGAAAAGGTACGTTGGGCAATTTCAGATGGACTTAATTTTGGATGAGACATTTTGGGGAATTTGCTCAGTGGGCTATTTTGGAGTTTTTTTTCAGTGGGAGATTTTGGGGATTTCTGTTCAGAGGGAGTTTTGGGCATATTAGATTTATATTTCGACGAATTTAGTATTTATACTCTGTTGGACATCTTGAGATGAGCCAAATTGGGATGGGGTTTTTTTCAAGGGTTGCTCATTTTCGGGTTGTCCATTGGGAAATTTTTTCCTACTTTAAATAAGCAAGAATTTCCCCTTCTCGGCGCCGCAGGCGAAAATTTTGAAAAGTTTTGAGGTCAAACTGCCAAATTTTTTCACTTTTTCCGAAAAATTCATTAAAAATTACAAAAGTTTGGCAAAAATTTGCAAAAATATTGAAATAATTTGTAAAAAGTGCCAAATATTGAAATAACGGGAAAATTGGCAAAATATTGAAATATATTGAAATACAGCTTTGTTCAGAATCATAATATCGAAAAACTAATAGCATATTTGGGCTTCTCTCGACAAACTGTGTTTGCAAAAAAAATATTTATTTCAATAAAAATCCGGACCCTATTTATGATAAACAGTTACTCGAATAATAACTTTCATTAGTATAATTGTTCTCTCCAACGAGAATAATTACTCAGATTAATTAATCTTGAAACTAGGGTAATTTTTACTACAATATAAATAAGGGTTTAAAACAAAGGCTGGTCAGAATTCAAATTTATATTTTTCTTCACGTCGGTTCTTTTTTTTCTGTTAAATTCTTAAATTTTCCAATTTCGGGAATTTTGTCATTCTATTTATGATTTACAAAACCACTGAGCCTGTAATACAAAACTCTGTCAAATGATTCCATAGATTTTAGCCGTCTTTTGTAGTTAAATTAACAGATCAAAACTAGTAAGCAAAAGGTATTGTCAAAAGAACAATCTCCTTTTACCAGCATAAACATTCAGGGATCCCATTTTCCGACCAGCCTCTGTAATTAAACGAGTTACGGGTTCAATTAATGAAAAGGAATTAAATTATTGCGATTCACTACAATATTTTGCAAAAAATTGGACAATAAATTCTGCAAATTTTCGGATCTTCTAGGTTCTGATTGATGACTTTGCGTTTCGAATATCTGATTAAATTCTAAATCTTGACGACAATTAGGGCATTTTCTGTTGCCTTTTTCAATCCTTTATTAAAATAAAATTTTCTTAATTAATCTAGTTTTAAGAAATTTTTTATTTCAATAATTATAAAGAACATATATTTATTAAACTCGTTTTTTAACAATAACTAGATCGGTTGGAATCGGGATCTCGCGCCGTTTTAACGAGATCCAATCCTAAAATACTGTCAAACACCAGGGCTGAATATTTGAAGGGTAAGGGTCCAATCATAATTTATATTTATAGTAGTGAATATTTACACGCTCGGACCTGAACCCAAGGATGATTATAGAGCTCCGAAGGTTCCTAACTTACCCCGACACAACTGCCCCCAAAGTACCTACTTTAAATGATCATGTCTTAAATTTAATTTTTATTTGTGCTTTTAAGCTTCTCTTTACCTTATCTAATCTTCACCTTATCTTATCTGATTTATTAAATATTTTTATAAATTACCACGGTCTGATGCATTTAACATGGAAAATATGCTTTAAATTACAAAATAAAAATATTAAAAAATTTAAATTAAATACGTCGCATGGTGTCTTTATTACTTTATCTCCAATTTCATATTCAGATAAGCACACACTACATTCAACGTGATGATCAATTAAATTTTGATCTACGTCAATGTAATCAACAACTTAAATTAAAAATCTTTTAAAATACCTATTTACTTAACGAATTTTAGTACAGGAACTCAAGTATAGTATCTAAAATATGAGGTATATTTGATTTTATTAATATATAATTCTAGAAATTTATTCTAATTAGCCGTTAAGCTAAAATTAAATTTATAATTTTATTAAAAGAAATTTAAATAATCAAGAGGTATTAAACGAATCAGACAATAATAAGTAGATGAGACTGAGTTTTTTACCAATACCTTAATTCCACACCTTAATTCCACACTCTCACTTTATAGGAGTATTAGACTTTATTAAGTTCCTAAGACAATAGGAGCAAAAAAATTAAAATTTGGCACAAGGATTCGGTAAGGATAATTGAAGTGGTCCTTTGTTTGTAGGACTAAACGAGATTCGCCCTTATTCAAGACTAAATAGCTTATTATTAATAATTTTTGAAGGGTTATTAATTCTTTTAAGTTAATAAAATAATAAAAATAAATAAAAATTACACAATGGAAGGTCGTTCAAATAAAATTGTTTTGGATTATAACGTTTCAACATTTTAGATAAATCAATGTATTTGAAGCCTTCACTATTAATTTCAAATGAACTGTAAAACAAAAAATATTTTAAAATAATTATCTGGATTGAAAACTTTTTTTTTCAGTTTTAAACAAAAAAGTTAGTGTCTGAGTAGGCAACAAAATGATCCAACTTTAATTCAAAAATTAATTATACAACAATTCAAATCCGGAATTGTCGGCCGCATTAATAGTTTTGCTGAATCGGGATCCCGGCTGGAATCGGGCGTCACGATCCCGATTTAACGCTAACGCCCGATCTCGATTTTGCTGATCCCTAGATCTAAAGAAGAGAAGACCGACTGGTTTAAACTTTTTCAATTAATAAACCTCAACATTCGGGTTTAAGATTAGGTACAGATTTCAATTACTATTTTATTTCTAATAACCTTTCATCCTGAAAAATTTCATTACATTTCTTAAGTTGATAAAATTCCGGCATTCCTTCCCAATAAATTTCCATATTTAAATAGTTTTCTGACAAAATTATTTTATTCCAATCCAAGCAAAAAACAAAGTTTTTATTCCCCCAACTAACACTAAAATGATTTTCAATTGCTTCTTCCTCGTTTTTTATAGTGATTTTTGGTAACAATTTTGTAATTATCTTGTCTTTTCCAAATTTTTTGAATAAAAATTTGGTTAAACAAAATGATTGTTTTTCTAAAAAAATTATTTAAAGAAAAATTTTTTGAGAAATTTTAAAATTATCCGTTTTTATAATATCCCTTAACTATCAAAGGTATTTGTGTGGGCCTGTTAGATGGAATTTAAAAAATTTAAAAATTGACTGGAATTTAAAATTGACTGGAACAAGTATTTAAAAAGCTTAGGCGAGATTTATTCAATCCCTAGAAATGAATACGAAAATTACTACAGTAGTTCCGTGGTAGCAGCTAAACCCCGGAAGGTACGATACTACCGACGGTATTTTTAAGTATTCATTGGTATTCTGTGTTGTTAGTAAGGTACGGAATACCGACCGATAATTTCTAAAATTTATTGGTATTTATGAGTATTTTGGTTATCCTTGGGTATTTTTCGGTAATTTAGTATGGATACGGTACAATCAGAATTGCGGCTCCAAAGGGCTAAGCGAAGGTATAGCAAGATTTAAGGAAACTTGCTGAACTCCTACTGAAAGTTTCACACTCAAAATGACCCAAATTTACTCCAAAATTTAATTATTTACCTAATTTCTTTTGATAATCGTCGGATAAACTCATATAATTTACTTTTCCAAACATTTTATCAACCAGCAAATTACCCCCTTTAACTAAACTTTTATTCTTTTTAAAACAATCATTTGCATAATTAATTCCCTTATATTCTTCCAAATCTTTCTTTTCAATTTTTAAATTTTTAACAAATTCTTTTTGAATTTTTCTTTGAACTTTCCAACAATTTCTACAAAATTTTTTTGAAGCAAAAATTTCTGTTTGAATATTAATTTCAAATAAAAGATAATTAACAATACATTCTTGTTTGGAAGAAAATTTGTTTGGAAAACAAAATGGGGCGAAGGAAAACAATAAAATTAGAAGGAAAAACATTTATTTTTTTGACTGAAATTTGAAGTTTATTGGAATTTTAAATGGAATTTTAAGGTATTTTTTACCGCCTAGTCTTATCCTTATCCTTGTTTTACTATTAATATCGATAAGTTACAATAAAACTAGTAGATTTCCCTAATTAAAAATTTTTTTGATAGATAATATGTATATCATTTTATAATAATTTCAGTAAGTTAAGCTTTAAAATCATGCTTAAACTCGAAAAATCGGGGTGGAGTTATAGTTATATATTTTGAGGATTTCACTTATGATTGCAGCATTCGCGAATCCGATTAATCAAACAACTCCACGGCGGGGAACCTCCCGAAATAAAAAATAAATTCTTGATTTTTGAAAACCCTAACAAGGCAATTGAATATTTGACTAACTGCTTTACTATAAAATTTTAATAAAAATTTTTTGTCTGCGCGGAAATTTTTTTAATGATTTAATTATTATTTATTTTAAAATAAAATTAGTGAATTAAAAATATATGACATTTAGCTATTTAAAGATGCTGATTTAGTGCAGATGTCCTCGCTTTCTCTTTTAAGTGTTAAATTCGATTAATAAAAAAGCGGAAAAAATAAAAAATAAAAATATTCGAAAACAAGAATTTATGAATTTCATGTGATTTTAAATTTATATTTTACTTAACTCTGAAATACTATTATTATCAAAGCTTCTGTATTGTCTTCCCCAAAACTTATAAGTCAAAACTTGATAATTCAGGATCTACATATGCCAGATTTGTATAAAGTTAGTAGGGTAATTTGTATAATTATTATATTATTATTTATAATATATAATGTAAGCATATAAGGTGAATAACACATCAGTCCGGTATCCTTTTGCACTGGCTAAAAAAGAAAAAAAACTTGATAATTATTTATATTAGTAATAATATAATAATTAAATATAACAATGAAAGTAATAATATAATAATTAAAGTAATAATAATATAATAATATAAAGTAATAATAATATAATAATAAAGCAATAATATAAATTAATAATTAAAGTAATATTAATATAATAATATAATAATTAAAGTAATAATATACAGGGTGCGCCTTAAGTAATCGGACACTTTTAAATTCCTTATAACTTTTTTTATTGTCAATATTTTTAATTGATTTTAGGCTTATTTTTTAGATCATTCAATTCTCTATTATGGCTAGTCAACGTGATTTTATAATCTCACTTTTTTTGAAAAAAAATTCAGTCCGCAAAATTTCATCTCTTTTGATTGTGGCACGCATGTCCGGACATTCTTTTCACAAACGAAAAAATTTTTACAATAAAAATCGTACACAACCATCAAAATTATAGAATCTGGACTACAGAATCTCCTCTTTCCGATAAGCTTATCACACATTCCCATCATCCCCAATCTGTCATGGTTTGGGCCGGTATTTGCGCGTCAGTCAAAAAACCCCTTATTTTCGTGGATTTTGGTGTAAAAGTCAACAAAGCCTATTACTTGCGAGAAATTTTTCAGCGTGTTCTGAAGCCTCGGTTCAAGAGCCATTTCGGTCGCAGAGTCTTAATTTTCCAACAGGACACTGCTCCGGTACACAAGCAAAAGAAGTTTAGGACTGTTGCAAGGCCAATTTCCATGGGTTCATTAGCGCTCAGGAATGGCCACCCTAATCCCCGGATTTGAATCCGATGGATTATTCTTTTTGGTCTATTTTGGAGTCCAGGGCATGTGCTAAGCCGCACAAAAGTTTGGAGTCTCTGCGCCACTCTCTCACCCGAGAGTGGGACTTAATTACACTCAAGGAGGTGCGTGCTATTTGCGAAAATTTTTCTTCACGCCTTCGCCTCTATATCAAAGCCAAGGGTAGGTATTTCGAAACTTCTTGATTATTTTTGTTCCTTATTTAATTCTCTATCATTTGATTGTATTTTGATTTTATTTGATTGTGTTTTAATAAAGTTATGAGAGAAAACACGTGTCCGGTTACTTATGGCGCACCCTGTAATAATTAAATATATAATATTAGTAATAATATAATAACTAAGCCCAGTTTCATTACTATAATATTCTTTTTATACAAATCTTTCATAAAAATAGTTTTAAATTTATAATAAATACCTAAAACTTATAATAATACTTATATAAGAATACTTATAATAAAGCTTAAGAACTTTGAGGATGATTGTTTGAAGCTGATTGTTTGATAAATAATACCTAGTTTTTTCTTCTTTTTTCCAGTATTTAGGTATTGAATGGAGAATGTCGAATTTCAACTACTGTTTGTAGTAGTAGTTGTTGATTCTTCAGCAAGTTTCGATCATTTGCAGGTTCACCAAACAATTTAAATTAATTGAATAAATAAAATATTTATTAATCAGCAAAACTTTTTAAGTGAAAAAGTTTTTTAAATTGAAGTGAATCAGTCATATTAATGTTGAAGAGATCCTTTTTATTATTCCTTTTGCCTTCCCTTCTTTGTTAGTGAATTTAACCCCAAATGGTGTAATAAGCGGAATAAACATCTTCTCTTCAACTCGAGCGGTGGTCTTTCCCCGATCGGTGTATGCGTTCCTTTTAATATTTCTCAAAACCTTTTACAAACAAAAGCAGAAAGGAGAAAAGGCACAAAGTCTAAAATTTCTATTAATATTGATTGAAAATAAATACTTGAAGCGAAAAGAAAAATAAATAATGGCGATTGGGAATTTGAGTATTGGAAGTTTTGGTTATCTTTCCTCTGGAATTGAGATGTCGGTCGCTTGAGGCTCGTGAACAAATTGAGATCCTATTAAAATAATTAGAAATTAATTTAAAATTTATGTCGAGGCGAGCCTCGACAGAGAATGTTTTTAATGGATATTATTATTTTTAAATTAAATTTTTGTACATTTTATTTTATACATTCGTAGTTTGTTGTTTATACGTAGTTAAACTTCTAATTGAGTGAAATAAGACGCGCATGAAGGCTCCGGTCATTTATCTCCGATACAAGTAAGGTTGCATCCAGAACGTTCGGAAGTGTTTAGGGGATAAGGGGGGGGGTTGAATTTTGAATTTTTTTGAATTTGAACAATTTTTCTCGACACCCTATTTCTCGACCCACAGGGATAATCAACATAGAAGTGGTACCATCGACTCATGTCGATGTGTCGAATCTAATCTATTTTTCCTAATAATAACTATTTGATTATTCTTACAGTCAACATGCTCTTCCATACCTACAATATAGAATTATTTTTAATATTTATTTTAATAAATTATATTTAAATTTTTATTTATTTACTCAAATTTAAAAATTATTTACACGTTTTGATCAATAAAAGCCTAACACGACTCACAAGACATACTAACAGCGTTCGAAATTTCGTTTCTGATAACAGCGCTTCGAAATTTCGATCCGGATTGATGGAAATCAGGGTTGCGTCTTAATTACGAATTACGGCGTTTTTTGAGTTATCGGGGAAAATTATCGGGGAAAAATCGGGGAAAATTACGAATTACGAAAATAAAATATAAAAATTACGAAAAAATTATCGCAAAAAAACCCTCGTACTTTGCCATTAAGTTTTTGGAGAAAAAGGAAATGAAAATTTATATTTTCTCTCACGTTTCCTCTTGTTAATTGGTGGTTGAGTACTTTAATAGTTAGGCTTCACTTACTTTGATATTTTGTGGGGCTTGGTTCGAATCCAGTCATGGAAATAAACTTTATACAAATCTTCTCAAAAATAAAAATTTTAAAAACTTTGATTTTGATTTTAAATTTGTAAATTTATTTTTTTAATATTTTAAACTTGAAAAAACATTAAAAATTTTATTTAGTCATGAATTTTCCAAAATCTAAGAGTTCTGACCATCTAAACTTCAAACCCTCCGGCCTATCAATCGTATTAAGTAAGAGTTTGCTAAATTTTGTCAGGATTAATTGCGAATGATATCAGATGATATCAAACCCTTAATCTGGGACGAAAGATTGAAGAGATATTAAGGGGATTAAGAGGGATATCAGGGAATTAATTTGGATTTGAAGTAATATAAGAGAAATAATATGACTTGGAGGGATTAATGAGAAAAGCATCAATTATTAATAAATATTTGATTTTTTAATTAATTTAAATATTTTTTATAAATTACGGCATTTTTTGAGTTACGAATTACGATTCCTAAAATTTGTTAAAAATTACGATTACGAAAAAAAATTTCGATTACGACGCAACTCTGGGTCCGATGAATCGCCTCCCCCTCCTTGCATTTTAAATAAAAGAGAGCCTAACTCTTGCCATTCATTTCTAAATTCTTATTCTTCATTTTCCCTAACTAAATTTAAATTAATAAAAATTAAAAAATGTTTTTTAAATTTTTATTTTTCTTTTAATTCAATCACTTATTATTTTTGAAAAAGAGAAAGTAAAATTTAATAATACATACATATTTAAGTTACGTATAAACTATGGATCTAGCCGACATAAAAAAATTCAATTACCGATTTTCGGGAATCGGGATTCCCGATCCAAAAATGTCTGGAATTCACGATTTTCGGGAATCGGGTCGGCTAGATCCCTGGTACATACTAACAGGGAGGACCCGTTCTTACGCATACTTACAATTTAATAGAACGGCCGGCACTTTTTTAATCACTTTTCAATGTGCATGCATTAGAGGGGATAATTTAACAGGAAATTTTGGTAATTTTCCGTTATCTCCCCCATTTTACTTCCCTTTTTCTCTCTTCAAAATGGTCAAAGTCAGAAAGGATTAAATTAATTTAGTGGCAATATATAGTACATACATACTTGTTTTTTAAATTTGATTTCAGATTTAATTTCCCAATCGTATCTATTAAGAATTTAGATAGGGTATTGGAGGTTTGGGTAAAAATAAATAGACAAATGGAAATTTTGCATATTTAGATGCATATTTTGAGCCTATTTCGGTGCATATATTATTTTTAATTTTAATAATTATCTAGACTGCTTAACTCAAGGGGGGCTTATTATTTATGTTTCAACCTAAGTAAACATTATTTACACTTCATTTTTGTGAATTTAAATTCATTTTTTTAACTTTTAAACATTTTTATTCAAATGTCAATCCTCAAATGTCGGTCCAGAAATGCCTGTCAGCAGGTGTCGCACGACTCGAAGCTTTATATAATAAAACACTAATAATATGTACATTTAAAATAATTTTAAAATAATTCCAGAAAGTAATGAAGCCTCCATTGTTTTTATTACTTTTTTTATTTTCAACATTTTTTGTTGATTCAATTCCAAGCGATGAGGATGAAATGGATTCACATTATCGTGCCCACACTCATCGTTTCAATTTAAATCGTGAACCATCTCATGCATACCCACCTCAACAACATCATCATGAATTTGGTTCAAATCAGGCAGAATCATCTGCTTCCCTTAGACGTTCTAGAAATAATCGTCACAACCGTTCTCAAAATAGAACAAACGAGTCGGCATATAATTATAATAGGAGAAGAATGCTCGCATTTAATAGAAGAATGGCTTATGATCGAGAGTATATTCAAAATTTGCATTTAAATTACAACCGTAATTTATCTTTATATTCACCTCAACAGCAACAAATCAACTCAGGTAGCACAATTATTATGAGTACTTATAATTTTCTTAAAAATATCAAAATCTTTATTTATTCTAAAATAAAAATAAACAAGGAGTATGCAACAGTGACAAATTTTAAAAGTGAAAGGTCGATTTTACAAAAATTTTTCCGCACGACGCAAAAGATGCAGTAATAATAATAAGTACGGCGTGTCAGGTACTTTATGGATATGTCACCCCCCTCCTATTTTGAGTCTCAGAGTTTTTCTTATACGTAGAAAATGGTCAGAGATTATTTTCTTCTCCATGTCAATCATTCTTTTCTTCTTCAAATATTTTGCTTGTTTATTTTGCCTTTTCACATATTTTGTAGAGTTCGAACCCGGGCCGGGCCCGGTCCGGTTTTTTCCGGGCCCGGTAGCCCGGAACCGGGTATTTTTGAGAAAATCCGGTTTTTCCGGGCTAACCGGTTTTTCCGGTTTTATCCGGAAAAACCGGCCCGGGTGCGATTTTGAGTAAAAAAACCGGGTCCCGGGCCCGGTAATTTTTTGCCGGGCCCGGAGTCCTTTTGACGAAGAAGAAATATGTCTTAAAGACTCCGAAATTTCCCAAAATTTTTGCCTGCGGCGCTGAAAATGGAAGAAATTTGGCTTTTTGAGCTTCAAAATTCAAAAAATTTTCGCCTGCTGCGCTAAAAACGAAGAAAGCTTTTTGGGTTTTGCTAGAGTAGACCAGCCTTCTGCCGCCCAACCTACCATAGTCGTAAATCTTTATATTTGTGATTTAAAAATATTAAAAATTCTTGAAACCCAGATTAGAATATGCTTACTCCAAATTGGATTAAGGCTAAAATTACTCCAAATTAAGATTAAGATATAGGTATGTCAATTTAAAGGGATTAATGGGTAAATTTTAGAGAGACAAGTTATGTTGCATAATAGGACTTTAGGTAATCGCGAGAGAGACAAATTTGAAAAGATTAAAGAGATATAGTGAGATTTGAGTGATTATAAGCGATATCAGCGAATTTGTGTATATTTAGATTTTATGGATTAAGTGAATACCTGTGGTTTTGAAAGGGGGATATAGAAGGGAAATAGAAGAAATCTCAATAGTGGAAGAAAAGGTGGATCTATGTCGATTTAAGGATTAAGGTGGATATCGAGAGTTTTGTAGGGTTACTCTTGTTTCTGTTATGCTTTTCTCACGAATCTAGTTCTTGGGGTGCATATTTATGATTTAAATATTGATTAAAAGCCTTTATGAACTGAAAAATAAATTTTTTTTAATTTTTATTTTATTTCGTTTCGTCAGAAACGAAATAGGAATTTTTTATTTCGTTTCGATTCGAAATAAAAAATATTTTTATTTCGATCACTCGATATTTCAAGTATTGGATGAGTTGACCCTTTTGGCCGTGTAGATGAGTTAATGATTGATGAGTTAAGGATTTTTTGATTAAATAAATAATTCTTTTATGTTTTTAATAAATTTAGAAAAAACCGGGTCCGGGCCCGGGTCTGAAAAAATCCGGTTTTTCCGGGCTAACCGGTTTTTCCGGTTTTATCCGGAAAAACCGGTCCGGGTGCGATTTTGTGAAAAAAAAACCGGGTTCCGGGCCCGGCATTTTGAAAAGTTCGAACTCTAATATTTTGTACTTACATTTCACTCATTTCGTTTCTACATTTACCAAATTTCAATTATCTTTCTTGAAGAAAGAAAAATGATTGACATGGAGAAGAAAATAATCTCTGACCATTTTCTACATCTAAGGAAAACTCTGAGACTCAAAATAGAAGGGGGGGGTGACATATCCATAAAGTACCGCGTGTCAAAACATGCAAATGCATATTTTGCATGCGGATATGCAACGAGCTGGAACGCTCAAAAATGTCTCAAAAAAGGCGACCTGGAGCAATAATCTTTCTCACTTTCCTTTCCCCATGTCTGGTGATTTCGCCAGTATGCGATTTAGACAGTAAGTAATATGGGCAGTGGGTGATTTAGACATTAACCAATTAGAGTAAAAATAAGAAATAATTATAGTTGATTTGAGCAAGAAATAATTTACATGATTTCAATATTAACTTATCGTGATTCTATTTTTCTAACCAGGAAGGATTAAAAATTTTTCTTAAGCCTCCCAGATCTCTCAATGTCCCCTTAAAATGCTCCTAATCTTTCTTCATGTCCAGATTATTCACAATTACTTTTTTTAATTTTACTCTATTTTTGAGGGAAAAATTATTTTTAAAAACGTTTACTGCCTAAATCACTCACTGCCTAAATCACTCACTGCCTAAATAGTATACTGCCGAAATCACACGGCACCAGAGGTGGGTCGGAACAGTCAGAGGTGTCGGAAATCGGAACTGCCGGAAATCGGAAATGGCTCAAAAGTCGGAACTCGGAAATCGGAAATCAAAATTTTTTTTCGGAAATCGGAAATCGGAAGGAAAAAAACGCCGGAAATCGGAAGGCGGAAATCGGAAATAAAATTTTTATTTTCATAACTGAAATAATATTTAAAATTGTAAGGTGACAAATTATGGGCTTTTTTGAGTGTAATTTGAGGGTGTAAATTTCTTTTTGCAACTCAAAAGTCAAATTCGAAGGGATTAAAAGAGATATTGTGGGTCAATCCCTCGATATCACACACAGATCCCTCGTTATTAACTATGACCCCTTGAAAGCACACGATATAACTCAAAGTCCACCTTAATCCATCCTAATCCTCCGATATACCATTGAACTTCCATTTACAGCGCCGCAGACAAATTTTTTTTGGGATTTTTGGGAGCCTTAAGCCAAAAATCTTCTATTTTTTGCGCCGCAGGCGAAAATTTTGAGAATTTTGGAAGATCCTTAAGCCAAAAATCCTCCATTTTTGCGCCGCAGGCGAAATTTTTGAGGATTATAGAAGGCTAGAAGCCAGATTTTTTCCTTTTTCTGCGCCGCAGGCGAAAATTTTGAAAATATTGGAAGAATCTTTAGTCGGAAATTTTCCTTAAAAATTGTCGGAAATCGGAAATTTTTCCAAAATTTCGGAAATCGGAAATCGGAAGGAAAAAAACGTCGGAAATCGGAAATCGGAAGTCGGAAATCAGAATTCCGACCCACCTCTGCACGGCACCAAATTTTCATTTAAGTGATATAGAAGGGATTAGAGTTGTGTAGAGTTAATATCCATCAAAGAAAATAAAGAATTCATTTCATGAAAGAACATTATACTTTTCAGTAATTGTTATAAAAATTTAATAAAATTCCAGATCATCATTTATTTGCTCAAAATGAAGTAGAATACCGAGCTAGTAATAATATATTTTGATTAATTTTTTTTCTAAAAATTTATTTCAGTTTTGTTACAAGCACAAGAGATGTCACTCCATGACGATCATCACAGATCACGTAAACTAACAATTTATCTAAATAAATTTTTATTCAAACTTTAAATCATTTATATTTCCCAATAATTTGTATAAATCACCTAATACTTCCTAATTTTTTCGAAAATTCGACCGCTTAAATAGCCGATACATATGTATATAAAATTTATTTTTATATTAATTAAGGCCAACATAACCAAGGACAAGGATCAGACTTCAATCTATGTAAAAAACTTACCGCTTTTTCTGGAAAAAGTTTAATAAAATGGTATTTTGGTATTTAACAAGTATGAGAGTTTACGGATTTGCGGACTTTTTTTGCGCTCTCTTGTCATGAGAATGGTTCAGAAGTATAAAATATTCAGTTTGTGTTAAGGCTCGGCCCCGGGTTTAAAATTGAATTAGTTTTAATATATTTTTAGATAACGTGGGATTTCATTATCATCAAAAGAAACTAAAAACAATGAAAATAATGAAATATGTGTTATTTGCCAAGAAGAATTAATAGATAACGATATTGTTTGTCCGTGTTCTGAATGCAAAGTCTATTAAAATTATTAAATTTATTAATAATTAAATTTATAATTTTAAGAAAATATTTCATGTTAAATGTCTTGCACCATGGTACAAATCAAATTTTTTAATTTCTTTTAACAGAAATAATATTATATTTAAGGCTTAATGTGAAGAATATATGCCCCCTTTGCAAAGCGGAGATGATTTTAAAGCCTAAACTTACAAACGATCGTCCCACAAACGACAATTGTAAGTACCTTTTATCAATAAAGTTCCAAATCTCTTTGAACCTTTTTAACGTTCATTGCATATTTTTAGCTTTTTGCGTATATGCAGTTGATTTTTTATTTTGCTTTTATATTTTTGGAACCCCGATTAATTAATTTATGATTTAAAAAAATTAATTTACATAATTTAGGATTTAACAAAATATGGCCTAAAAGTGGGAGCAAAAAGAAGACTTGAATTTTCAAAACGTTTTTTTTGTCCAGTTTTATGGATTTGGTTATTATTTGGGATTATTTTTAAGTAATATATTTTGATTTTTAAAATTTTTAAAAGTTATTTTTAATCCAAACAAACAAAAATTATTTACCATTCTAACTAAAAAATTTTATTATACAGTTAAATCTTGTTAGATCAGTAAAAATAGGTTCATCTTTTCTCTGTGCTACTTTAACAAATTTAGTTAGAGGGGGGGGGGTGAACTTGAAAAATTATAAAAAAAGTAATTCAATCTTTTATAAACTTCAATTGCTGTCTAGCCTATATCTGAATCAAAAATTTAGGAGATTTTAAAACAACCCGAAATCCTAGTTACGTCTACGTAGGAAATATTATTTTTAATTTAACAAGATTTAACTATTTATTTATATTTTGAGAATACGTTTGGACACAAAAGTTTTTACGCGGTACCCTTTTAAGCGTACCCTAGTTTTGGTTGCGTCAAATTTCTAAAAAGACGATTTTCTGTGTTGAGTTCTAGAGCTGTCCGAGACTCTTGGTCTTGGAACCAAGACTTTTCTGGGTTTTTTTTCGGTCTTGGTCTTGGGGTGTTTGTCTTGGTCTTGTCTTGATTTTATTTTTTGGTCTTGGTTTTTGGCCTTTTTACCAAAAATTTCTAATTGACGCAATGTCTCATGAAAACTTTGGACCTTTCGTCCAATGAGTCATTTATAATGGAATTGAAGAAATCTGGCCTCTTGCCCTTCCAAAATTCCCAAAATTTTCGACTGCGGCGCTGGTAAAGAAAGAATTCTGGCTTCTTTGTAAAAATCACTTTATACTATATA